GGACAGACAAACGGGCTGGGACAGCCCCAGGACAGGGGCTTGTCTGCCCAGGGCCAGGTCCCCGCCGTCCTTCCCTCCCAGCCGGGACAGCTCAGCACCTCGGTCCTGTGCCCATGAACCCACCAGCGCTGTAATTCCTGGCAGTGCCCAGGGTGTATCACACCGGTGTGACCCAGCTGGGACACACGGAGGGGCTGCTTGAGCCAGAGCCCGAGCCCGGGCTGCCCTGCACTGCGGGGCTGGGGCAGCTGCTGCTGTCAGCTCTGCACCCAGCACCGCAGCCGCTGAAATCCTTCCCTGCCTGCTGGGTAACCACTGCTGATGGGAACACAACAGCGCTTGCAGTTTGTTTAGTCTCTGCGGCCTAAACCTCTTCCCGTGCTCACCACAGCCGTGTGGCTGCACCAATCCCTCCCCACGCGGAGGAAAACCAGGCCGGGACCTCTGAGCACACACTGGCAGGACACCCAGTCTGGCCAGGCTGTTTACATTATTAAAATAAGCAGGAACTGCACGGGCCGGATCCTACCAAAGGGATTGATGCCACTGTTCCTTGCGGTGAAAAGCTGTCTGACTTTGAGCTTTGCACCTCAGCGGTGCCCCAAGGCTTTGCAAGAAGAGCTCGGGCTCGTTTCCCTCACAGCCCCAAGGCAGCTGGAGGAGCAGGAGGGTCTGTGGGGTCTCACTGCTGGCAGGAGGGCACAGCCTGTTCCCCGAGGTCCCTGCTCAACCTCAAGGGTGAGAGCTGCTGGTTCCTGCCCAGGACGGGCTCCCGGCCCTGGGGGTGCAGGGAGGCTGCGGGCACCCGGGGCACCCCAAGGGCACCCCCAAAACCTGAAGGAATAAGGGCATTTAAAGATCTGATGCCTTTTTAATACCTGGGGGGGAAACATCAGTTTGTCCGAGCATAAAGCACACGTGAAGTGTTCATAAATTCTGCAGGCTGGAACAGGCAGCCCGGGCACCTCCGGACCGGCCGGGCTTAAATAATAACTTGTGATTAGGAGACCCCGGCCCAGGGAAGCTGTGGCTGGCCCCACCCCTGCCGTGTTGCAGGGG